TGTGCCGAAGGAGATGCCATAAACACTCATATGTCTTTGCTTCAGTAACCAGCATCTCTATAGGAAGAGGAGCTGCGGGGACTATTCCCATTCATTGACCTTGCTGGGCAGCAGTAGTAGCCACGTGAAATGTCCACTCTGCCGTCTTTCTCTCTGCAGCCATGTCCAATTTTGCAGACATACACATGGAATCCTTTGGATCCCACATTCTTCTTGTATGTGTAGCCCAATTTCCATGAGTCCTGTATGTGTTAAATGTGCTTCTACTTGAAGGAAGCAAAATGCATCTCTCTGTTTCTGCTTGAAAACCAGAGAAATATTTCTAGTAACACAAGTAGCACAAGAAAGCTTGTGAAATATAAAATCGTCTGCTATTGTCAATATTAAACAAATACAATCAGATCGCTGAATCTGGTACTAAACAGAGTTATTTTGTGTTTAGAAGGACCGCACGTGTCTGCATTATGCTGTGAGAAAACGGTTTACCTTCCTTGACTATGTGCTCATCATAATCCTCATGCCAGTTATGCTTCTTGGGTATCTTCTCATGGTGAGTCTGGATGAAAGCAGGAAAGACCCTGTACCTTTCCCTTTCCCCTTATCAGCTTTCTCATGGCAGTATTTCAGGCCAGGAACCTGTATAGAATATGGACGGCTTTTTTAAAGCAAGGACTGATGGAGAGCAACAGAAGCAAGGATTTTGCTGTGAATATAGCTGGTAAAGGAACAGAATTGTATCACTGCATTAGAATTGCATCACATGCACACTGCATCAGTCTGGCATTTGCAGAAACTAGACACTCTTCTTTTTGGAAAAAACACAGCATTTAGCCAAAATCTACTTAGTACTATATACAGATGAACTGTCTTACTGTGTTACTCTTTCCCTTGCACCTAACAGGTCTCAAAGACTAAACAGAATGAAAACCTGATCAAGATGTTACTTAGAGCTGGAGCCGATGTTAATGCTACAGACTTTGTAAGTGGGTTTATAGAAATGCAAATGCGGCTTGTATGCATGCAACAATGCTAAAACCAGACTTCAGAATCTTCTAGCAACATAATCCTGCTTTCAGAGTAGGATCAGGAACTGAACTGACTGTGATGTGCCAGGAGGATTCAGTGATTCCCCTTGATGTTTAGGCAATAGTTTCGTAATGTACACAGAAATAATTCTCCACTGATCAACTAATTCTCCCTTTTTGACCAATGCCCTCTTAAGAGAATCCAGGCAAACTAAGCTGAGATACTTATGTATTAAATACCTGATCCTATAAAGATTCTAGTGATATAAGGGTCTGAGTTTATCACCATTTATGAGTTCTTCGACTGGAGCAGATTTGTGGGCAATCTCTAAGGTAGAAAAGGAGAACCCCAATTTTAGCAGCAATCAAATTCTAAAACACTGAAGTGTGATCAAGCAGTATTGCTTAAGACACAGCTGTTGAGACCAAGATCAGGGAATCCTCTGAAATTAGTGAAGAACTGTTGGCTTCCTGCTGAAGGTATCAGACCTGTTTTAAGAGCTGCATCCCAGGGAAGGAATGATTTTTTTGTTTCTGTTGCTCTTATGACAATGTATTTGTTTTACTGTGTAGTGTATTGTGACAGGAAAAGATACATGTCTTTTGCATCCAGCTGTTAGGGGAAACTGATAAGGCTACAGGTAGTCGTACTTGCCTAAGGTCTACCAAGGAGGTAACAGAACTAAAATTCATCTGCTTCTGTTTCCCTTCAGTCAGGTAACACAGCCCTTCACTATGCTTGTGAAATGAAAAACCAGGCAGTCATTCCTCTACTGCTTGAAGCTCACACAGACACTTCTGTAAAGAATCAGGTAAGAAGGTGAAGTTGCTAACTGTATTTCCTTATTGTGATAGTGAATCAGTATGTTGTAGGCCTTAGCTGGTGTGCAGCAGTTTAAAAAAAGGGTGCACAGCTTCCTGGCAGCTGACTTGTTTGCTGTGGGGTGTAAAGCAACGTTTGCTCCATTGCCTTTGTTGGCAAGAGCAATTTTAAAGTCCAAGTCCTTCACTGCTGGATTTCCATCAGTAAACGCTGCCTGCATGTCCACTGGATTGGCAGATCTCTTAGCTATCTTCACAGTACCTCTTCGTAACTCAGAGCTGCGCTAGGGCCACTGGACAGCATTCTTTTGAGAGGGGCTAAGTCAAGCTGCTTCTGTCATCAGAAAAGCTCAAATGTTGTCCAAATAAACATTGACCTGGAAGTATCTGCATTACGGAGTTGAGGTGAGCAATGTATTGCCCATGTTGCTCTTGAAATCAGCTCTTAGCTTAGCTCTGCACTGACTTTGGACATTAGTCCCAGGAAACAGTGGAATGGCTGTCACTACTGGAGAGGCAGGGTGACTCTGCCCCTGGGTTCAGTGAGAGTAGTATGAGACCCAGCACGTTCTGAAACCTTTGTTTCAGAGCAAGGATGTAACAGTGAAACTTATGCACGAGAGTACTGCATCTGGGTGGCACATTCGGGAAAGCTCTTTGTACTTGACCCATCTCTCTCATATTGCAACATATTTCATCTGTGTCTTTCAGGATGGGGAGACTCCCTTAGATATAGCAAGAAGATTGCAGTTCCACAACATTGAAAGCATGCTAAAGAAAAGTTCATAGTCATCAAGGACTCTTGAACATGCAGAAAATTATCTCACTTGGCAATGCATCTCGCACAGCAGCGGGAGTCCTGCAGAGCGTTGGGGGCTGTTACTTGGTAAAGACTTGGTCCAAATCCACCCATGCCTTGCTGCAGACTTCAACTATTTTGTGTGAGACTTGTCCCCAAGGCCACGTGGGCTGAAAGGCGTTAATTTGATTTTACTAAGCCATGAATGATTACAATAGTGTTCAAAATATTGCTCTTCTTATCTGCTTCCTCTGGTTTATTACTTGACTTGCGCAGACTGGATTTTGAAAGCTAGCTATAATATTTCTGGAAGTCTAAACATTGCACTTGATGGTTGGCAACCAAATGCAAAAATAAAATTTCCTTTAGAGTGTGCGTTACTTGTCCCAGAGGGGATACACCTGACAACTGAACAATATGCCACAGCAGTTTATACAAAGTCTAGTACCCTTCCTCTTAGTATTTCTATTCCTACAATGGGAGTGACTGGGAAAACAGATCTCTCAGCTTAGCACTTCCTCCTTCCATCCCTGCTACAAGTTTCACACACCTTATTCTCAGTATGTTGCTACAAGGGAAGGATTATCTTCTTTTTTTTTTTCATATAAGAAACAGCAAAAAGAGATTCAATGAGTTGCTAGAGACCACAAAGAAAGCCAGTTCCCGGGTTGCTTTGTTGCATTAAGAAATAATAATGAAAATATGTTTGGTGCGGTACAGAAACAAGTCCCTTGACTACATTTCCAATATAGCAGTGTACTAAAGAAAAAAAAAAAAAATCAATAAATGAAATGCTGTTGATGGGAACCAGATGTATCCTTCCCACGGGACTGGACAGGTTACCATGGTTTTCAGAGTGGTGCATGCAGCAGGGGATGCATATACCAAAACAATAATAAATTCATGAGTCTTCTCTTGTATAGGTGAAGGTAGAAGAAAACCTGCAGTGGTAAGCAATGTATTAATGTGGCCTGGCGCTTTGTGATTTAATAATGCAGCAATAAAGGGTAATCTGCTTTCAAATGCTGCTGTATCTTGCTTTCTTGGTCTAACAGATCTTTATTTTTCTTGACAGTTTTGGCCATTTCCTGTAATCTGTCATAAGTTCAGAAGATAGATGTCATGATCAGCACTGCTAACGGCTGCTAGACTAGGTGCATGGACAGCTGTGTTTTTCCTGTGTTGCAGAACACAGATACATTTTTCAGTGTAGCTATTCTATTGGACGCTGACTCCAACTACAAAGGGTTTGGTTGGGCAATATGAGCTTGAGGCCCCACCCAGAAACACCCCGGGAAAAAAAGCTACCCTGTCTAAGCCTGTAACAATGAACACTTCTGGTGTCACACACTGTTACCTACCAGATCAGCTTGTAGGTGAGTAGAGGTGAGGCACTTGCATGGATAATGAAGATGCTATCTCTTTGGGCTAAAGACCGGAAAGGGAAAAGAGCTGACTGCTTTCCCATGCTGTAGAAATTGCTTGAACAAAGAATGGTCAAGACACAGAGTTATGTAAAAGTCAAAGCTGACAGCTCAGAATGCTTGCAACGACTTCATTGCCAGTGTCAAGAATAACTCATGGGGTGGAAGCTGTATTACTTGGAGTGCAGCTTGCCTGACTGGTCTACATCGACTCATTCCTCAGCTGCCATCTATCATCTTTGAAGTTGGGGGGTTTAGAGTGCGTGGACAAACCTTTGGGTGATGTGTAGGCATGGAGGGCAGGAGAATACTTCTATGAGTTTTTCTGAAGTTGGATTCCTTCATGTTTGGAAGTCATCTATTGACTGCTCAGTTTCTTGTGTCTGAAGATTTCTTGGTTGTGTCGACATTGTAGGTAAATGTGAGGAGGGAAAAAGAAAAAAAAGCCAAGTTCCCTGTCAAGTGGAAAAATGATTTAATTTAAACTAAGGTCCTTTGTACTTCAACAGAGAAATGAGCAAATCCCACTTTTGGGTTTTCACGGGAAGACATGGATTGGGAACGGTAATGCTTCTGTGGGGATACTTAAGATATACATGAGAACAATAGAGTCTAGGCTTGAAAAATCAGTCTTGTAGAAATAAAAGCTGTCCAAATTAAGTGATCCCTGCAGTGTGTGCTCAAATATACTCATGTTTTCAGCTTTTATTCCTATACACTTCAAAATTCTCAGGAAGACAGCAGTCAAAGTAACACCATGGAAAACCTCAAACTATGAGGAAAGCAAGAAACAAACAAATGCGGATAAATACCTATACTGGTATACTACCTATACTATTATGTGTGTCTGTGTGTTTACCTCTTCCTCCTTATTGCCTAATAGAAATTTTGGAGAGTTTTAATGAGTGAATCAACACTTGGCATGTGCTTTCAAAAGTATTTTGTTATTAGTTCAATGATTTTCCGATACATTTTCTCAGTTGCATCAAGGCCCCAGATGAAATCAAGATGTCCCCAAGCAGGGAAATGCTCGTGGTAAATGAGATTAGTAATCCGAGGAAGTAGCTTTGCCATGTCCTTGGGATCTGCAAATTTGTCACATCCACCACTCCAAACAGCAATTGGTGTGCTTATCTTCTCTATTGGGTATGCAGGAGGAGTAGACTGTAAGAAAGGGAGGAGACCTGAGTGAATGCTGTTGTATCAGAAGTTGTGTTTCGAGAAAGGATTCTGTGCAAGCATCTCTTTCCCTTCTGCACTCACTACAGTAAAACTGTAAGGACGAAGGCCACCCTCTTAGTGCCTATTGCCCTAACCCCATTCCCTGTTGACTATGGAAGGAACTGATCCGTCCTATTCCTGTGTCTTTCCTTAATGCATGGCTAAGAGTTGTCCTGCAGTTTGACACCTACTCATGCCCTTCAGAGGTGGGGATATGGCAAGAGCAGCGTCTGTGTTTACCAGGCAAGGACCGCAGAGTTGTTGTTCACGGGTGTTCCCTTTCTGGCTTATATACGGTCCTCTTCATGCTTTTATGGGGCATGGAGTGAAAGATATTTAGTGGTATTTTTCCAGACTTCACTTGACACTCCCTCTAGGTCACAGTGTTGCTACTGATGGAGTAACAGCCCGTGAGCACACTTGCCTTGTCTGTCATCACAGAGGAAATCAAAGAAACACGGAAAAGTGGAATGGGGATCTTCTGAGACCTGAGCCAAATGACTTAATGCAGGATGATTATTTGTCTACGGGGTGGTAAGGGACCAGGCACAAGATGCTTTTAAATTGACCCCTAGTATCTAAGGGTGGTTCTGTTCTTTTTCTCATTGACTGTTTTTTGGGGCAGTTTCCTAAGCATCCAAGGTACTGGGACTACAACATAGCCCATTCCAAACTCTAAACTTCAGTATTTAAAGACCATATGTGTGGATGGAAGGTGTCTGAGAACTCTTTGGAGTCCTTCTCCACCTGTAAAATAACGTGCCACCCATAAGATAACCTGCCCTGACTCAGAAAAGCTCACGACATGTCAACTGATCTGATCAAACCTTAAAAAACTGTCAGGCAAGTTATCGGTGTTGCAGGAGAACCGCAGCATTTCTGAGTGTTGACTAGGTGGTAACCAAAGCTCCTAGTGACCAAGTTTTGTCCGTTTCCTTTTTTCCATACAGGATATATTAGTTCAGCGCAGCAGTAGTCTCCACTGTGCTGTACTGAATCATCCCTTCTGTTTTATTTTTGTGGTAAGTAGCTTCCCAAAACCAAGGTATGCATTTCCATTTTTTCTCCCCCCGCCCCCATTTGTTTTTGTTTTTTTTTCCATTCCCCCTTTGGCCAGTCTAGCATTTAACTGAAAGGCAGACCTTGAGGATTTTTGGGGAAGTGAAGAGCTCCATACTCATGAAGTCCTAGGACTTGGGTGTGGCTCTCAGCCTTTTGGGAATGGCAGGTAAATTGACATGTCATTGGACACATCCCTGCATCAGTAGGGGAGGCAAAATGAACTTCTGTTAGCTGTCCACAAGGATCTGTCTATGCCTTGTCTGTGAATAGACTTTTACATGTATGAGTATTAGATTCGGGTGAAACATTACCTCAGACCACTCTCCCCCTCTTTAGTGCTCACAGGTGCTGAAATCTGGATTTTTCTGTTCTTAGTTTTGCCGGGACCCAAGGGTGAGTTCTCTGGAAATCTGTATTGCCTTACCTGGTTGTATTTCTTCATGTTTTCCTTAGAGCCGTAGTCATAAGCTTGAAATTGGTCTGCACGTATTATCTATTAATATTGTAACAAGGACAGATAAAATGAAAGAGTTAAGAGACAGAGCAAAGTGCAGGAGGTGTTTTCTTGCCTTTGATTGAAGCCAAGGCTCAGGCAGTGGTCAGGCTTCCAGGGATTCTGAGGATGGATCGTAGGGTGAGTGGCTTCACTGCCTTTCCTCTTGCTACCATTGTCTCCTGATTCTCAGCCGCCACCCTTGGCATGTTTTGTCATTAAAATTTTGCTTGACTATCTTAGTTAGCTAAAGTTGGGGTCCCTGTTTGTGACGCAGAGGTGTGTCAGGACTATTACTAGTCTAGTGTAACAAATGATACCTGCTCACACACCTTGACTTGTGTGTGTCAGTTTTGTCTGGTCGGCTCACAGTAGTGGCGACATTTCCAGAGGCTCTGTACCTCTTACAAGAGTTTGGCTGTTGGGAGCAGGCTGTGATCAGCTTAACACTAAAGTATTGTCATCTTGAATGCGTGTTGTCTAGAAGGAAAAAAAAAAAAAGTTGAATCTGTCTTACTGAAAATGTGTGTGCATATTTTTTATCCAAGCCTTTAAGTAACCGAGGATATGCTAGAAATCTGCTAGCTTGTCTCTGTTTTCTGGGTCTGGGTGCTGGCAGTCTGGATCCTTGGAATTTTAGTCAGGGGTGTGTGCAGGAGCATGCATGTATTTAAGTGCTGGCAGAAGTGGCCACAATTCTGTGCACATACAGTGATGCGTTTGTGAGCCGACGCTCTCTTGCCCTGGTCTGATTTGGAGCACGGGCAGAACAAACTTAGGTCTGAGAGTGACGTAAGAGGCCAGCAGAAGAGGCAGTTCCCCACCTGCCGCTGGTGCCAGCAGAAGCGTTTGTGTAAGTAAGTCAGCTGGCTTTGGGAAGTGATCCAGGCTGCAATTAACACTCTGGGAGAAAAGCTTTAACCTGGATCTCTTCTTTGTCTAGCTCATCCCCTGGCTGCTCAATTTCCACTCTCCTCCTACTGCCTGCCAAGTGCCTAGGCTGTGCTTGCACTCACTTCTGCAGCTTTCAAGGCAAATGTCTTCATAAATAAAAATGAAGGCTGGAAGCCATTAGAGCCCAACATGCAGAGAGGCCTGATATGCCCTGGGGAAATCTCGGTGCTTGATACCAAAGGGGCAATTCAGGTGATGGTCTGGTGAGCCATGGGAAAGAGTGCTCCCTCTGTGGCAGGGGCTCACGGCAGCATGTGAGAAGATGTGATGGGCAGATTCCCAGATCCACTGCCTCTGGAATTCCCTGTAGGTGGTTGGTTGCATAAAAAGCAGTAGTAAGAGTCTGTTTACACATCAGTACACAGTTATACCTGATGCCAATGAATAATGTTCTGTACAGATGTTCCAGCAGGGGAATGTGCTACGTAGGTATCTATCCGGCTCTGGAGAGAAAGCAGAAGTGTTATAAAGGCAGTGATCCAGTGCTGTGACTGAATAAAGCTGTGAAGGACCTGAGCAACATACTGCTGCTGTGTTAAAACCCCATTTTTATAGGATGTTCTTCAAATATCAGATAGAAAACTGAGAAGCAGACTTAGGAATAGCTGGTTAATAGTATGCATCTGCACACTTTTTCCATGAAAGTTAGTCTGTTCCATGAAGATAGTACTACTGTGGGATCCTCGGAAAAACCTTCCAGTCCTTTCAAAGTAGATTACTCACCTGACAGCAAACCCCCATGCATGTATAAGTCTTTTGAAGATTTATTTTTCTCTTCATTTTACTCCTAGTGCTAAAGAAGGCAGATTACAAAACAGATTGCTTTTTCTTCTGTTTGCGTTTTTATAGTTCTGTTAAGGAGATGTTCCAATTCCATCTCCCTGCATTCCTCCTCAGACTTGGTATCTTGCCCTAAGAACAACATTTGTGACTTAACCGAAGTCAGGAAAGATCCTTAATAGTTTAGCTCTGCAATTCAAAAGGGCCACAATGCCTCCAATTGGTTTTGCATTGAACCTTTGATTCTCATTTCTTTCCCGTATGTGCTTTTTGCAATGGTTATAGATGGAGAAGAATAGGCCCCAGACTTTACAGATATTGCAGTAATAAACATTACACAGGCCAGCTTCTGCATACTTTGGCCACTGTAAAGGGGATTTAAGACACACTACAGTGCCCATATGTCAGCAAGCATAGGGATAACCCTCTTGTCTCTCCTGTTCCCACTGACTGAGGCACTAGTCTTTGTGAATCGTACTGTAGTTATGTTGCACTCCTCAGACACAGTGGAAGGACTTTCTGTAGCTCTACATGTTGTGGATTGAGCCGTTGGGCCCAGTTCTAAGGACAACAAAAATGGGAGAATGCTCCTTATGGTAGTTCTTTGGGATCAAGTTCTGGTGCAAGTAGTCTGAAAAGTGGCAAGGGAAAAGGAGCTTTTTCCTGCCTTTTAATTATTCCAGTGTTCAGAGGACCTTGGTGTCTGCATGCTAAGGAAGGAAACAGGGAACTGTATGACCAAGAAGTCTGACTCCATCATCCATTGGGTCTTTTTAAAGAGCATCTGTGTATGACCAAAATCTGGTTGGCTTAGCCCCAAAAGAGGGCACATCTATTACGTATGCAATATAGCTCCAGACTTAATTCAGTCCTTTCTTTCTGGGATTGGAATGTGCCTAGTTGTTGGTCCCATCCATCATTAGCTCTAGTCCTGTGTTTGCACCACACAATGCCCTGGCATTCCCTCGATCTGCTGAGAACTACATTGTGGTTTATGTACATTTACATGCATGACAGTTACTAGATAAGGATAGCGTGCACAAATGTAACTTCCAAAATCACGGTAGTTTTACTTTGAGTAGGTGCTCTTGCATATACTTACCGTGTTCAGATTTTTTATGTTGCCTCCAGCTATGTAACAGAGTACATGGCCACAGAACTTATCCAGGCTTGTACACAACTGCGTCACAGGTCCTTTCAGAAATCCAATCTGGTGCATGGCTCCTTTGCAGCCAAATGCTAACTGAGGGAACGGAAAAGCGCAACACTTTTTTTCTTGTTACAGGGGCATTTTATGCAGGAAACTGTTGCTAATAGCCTAGCCTCCTAACTCAGTATTCAAAGATTGCTGAAAGAGCTTGCCCTCCCAGTACCCCTTAAAACACTTTCTTCTCCATTGTGCATCACATATCCTTCCTTCTTCATATTACTGCCATCAATCTTGGAGGAAGCCATCCTCCCATTTCTAGCGTAGTGACCTCAATGCTCACTCATTTCTGAAGTCCCAGAGGTTGTCATGGTTGTTATTGCAGCTCTGGTTTAGTTCTTCCTGCATGAGGCCAGCAAAATATTAGTTAAGAGCAAGAGTCCTATGATAAGACAGTTTCACAAGTCTCGTACTTGCCGCTACAAACCCTATATCTCCAGTATTTTCCCCACAGAGTTTGGGAACAGATTTTTCAAGAGCCCTTGATTCATCCCAAGCTCAGTATCAGCATGTCACCTGTTTGGGAACACTTCATCTGAGGTTGAGTGAACCCTGTGAAAGCAAGTCAGGCATCGGGCCTCTTTTAGAAGGAAAAATGACATACCCTGAGCAGTGGTTCAGGAACACTTGTTATCTTAATCAGAGGGCTTGTAGCATGTGAGCCTGTGGTTACTGGGCTCAGAGCACAGAACATTTTCACCCGTTTAGCCAGCTCAGGGTATGTAGAAAATGCTATGAAGCCTGCAAACACAGAAGGGACAGCCTGAGTTAGTGATGACATCTTTCACAGACAAAATAAATAAATCAGCAGCAGGTAGCAAACAAGAAGTGAGACTAGATTTGCAGCCCATTGTCTGTTGTCCATGTTTGTCTGTGCTGCATATTTTACTGAAGGCGAGTGTTGAACCTAAGTCCTGAAATAAATTTTATTTGGGAGACAAAGTTCATTCTGAGGTTTAGAGCACGTCTGGACGTTGCCTTTATCAGAACAGTTTTTGTAGGTACCATGTCAATAAGGTTTTTGTGATAAAATCAATTCCCACTAAAGTTCAAAAAACTCTCATAAAAAATGAGTTTTTCAGATTATAGTCTCTAAAGGTCTATGTATGTTTATGCTTCCATGAAACTGTAGAATAATTAGCTGAATACTGGCATCTTTCAGTGTTTTCAACTGATTGTTTGCATCAAAGGCAGCTGAAGAAAGCCTAGATGGTTAGTTTGTTTTGCCATGAGGGTCTTTAAATACTCTTATAAGAGGAAAAGAAAGAAAAGGTCTGGAGCTGTGACAATATATGATTTTCCCACATTTCCTTCCCTTTTTTCTGGGTTGTTTACACTAATGAACTGGCAGTTGCTCATTTCTAATCAATGACCGTTCATGGATCTTACACATAAACCATAAACATCAGGAA